CCGCTCCCCCCCTGCTCCGGAGCCACAGTCTCACCAAGAGAGAAGGCAGAGCCACACCTTACGTGACCAGTTACAGGAGCAAGGCCAACTCCCAGAAGCCCTGTGGGGACAGAGACCTCACAGGGGAGGGCGGTTCACTTCTTAGTAAGTCTATATTTTATTCTCTTTCACTCAACAGAATAAGATTTTCGCATTTCAAAGCAGGTATGAGACGGCCACGACCTCCTTGCTCCCCTGGCGCCAGACAGCAGGCCTCTCCCACGGGGTCCGGCCCTCAGGCGGCCACGCCCTGGAGGCTCCGGGAGGGGGTCATTTGGCAAGGCTGCTCCAGGGACACGGAGGGAGAGTCGCCCACCTCTGGCCCCCTGTGCGGCCAGGACCCTCCCCCCGCTCTCTTTGGTATCTTAGGCAGCGGAGGCGCCCCGGGCCAGGCCCCGGCCCTCGCCTGCGCCCCGTCCTGGCCAGCGCCCTGGAAGGCAGGCTGCTCCGGCGAGGCCTCTCCTCGGCCACGGGCCTGTGGCCACGGCAGCGCGGGCCCCGGCTCACTTCTTGTAGTGATTGGGGGCGTCGGCGAAGGCAAACTTGAGGCGGTAGGCCTCGGCCAGCAGCAGGCTGACGTCTTCATCGCCCCAGCGGGCCGTGGGCAGGTTCTGAAGGAAGAGCAGCAGCTCCTGGGGGAGAGACAAGCCTGGGTCAGAGCGGGTGACAGCGGCGGGGTGGGGCTCCCTTTGGTGGGGGGGCCTGGCCACCCGTGAGGGCTCGCGGAGGGGGCTCGCGGCTTCCTAGACCCCGTGAGTCGTGTCCCCTCCCCTCTGCACCCCGAAGGGCCGCAAGCCCCGTGGCCAGGAGGGAGCCCCTCACACGGCCCCCAGTCCTTTTTGGCGATGCCTCTGGGACGGAGGGCAGTGCCACCCACGCTTCACAGCTGCGACCCCCCGAACAGGCCCCTCGGGCTCCACGGTCAGGTGCGGGTCGGGTGGGGCCTGGTTGCAGGCGCTGCCTCACCCCACAGCCCCGCAGAATCCCCTCAGGGGTAGGGCCCCCACCCCCTGGCCCAGGCGGACTTCGGGCCAGGTTTCTGTGACATTCCCTCAGCAGGGACGTGAGGGGCACCGTGGACAGGTGTATGCCCCCCAAGCCTACCAGGCAGGTGCACACCAGGTGGGCACACGCTGGGTGGGCGGGGGGCCAGGGAGCCCCTGTCACTATCCTCGCTTGATAGTCTGTTTCCAGAAAAGACCAGGCTGGAGCGCCTCGGCTGCCCCCAGCCCACCCCACAGGGCACACAACTCTCAAGAGCTCACAGTCTGCAAGCCAGAGTCAGGGATACTGAGGAAAGCGCTGGAAAGGAGAAACACAGCCCGGGGCCACAGCGACGCAAGGGCCCTGCGCGCTCACTGGCCCCTCTGACAGACCCCAGTTCTCGTCCAGGGCGACTGGCAACACTGAGGCGGGGGTGGGTCTGGGGCACAGACCCCAGCACCGGGGGGGTTTAGCAGGAGTGGGAGGGGCTGTGCGGCCGGAATGGCTTCTCGGGCGGGGGTTCTCCGGGGAGGAGAATCGGGGGCCTGGGCCACTGATCAGGTCAGCACGAGGCCTGGGCCAGGGCTCCCTGTCAGGGGCGGGCCTGCACCCTGTGGACAGCCTGCAGCTCTGGCCCCTCCCACTGGCCCAGCCCCCCCCAGAAGCCGGATCTGAGGGAGCCCAAGGACGGCTGGGGTCCTACGGGGCTGGTGCCACCCCTCTGAAGGTCCCAGCAGGGGACAGGGGACAGGGAGGGCACCAGACTGGGGCTGCTCCTCCCTGACTGCCTGAGACTCACACACAGGCCCCATCTGTTGAGACTCCTGTCCCTGCAAGGCTGGGACCAGGGATGGGGGGTGTGAGGAAGGGTGCCCAGGCGCTACATTCGCATCCTGGTCCCGCCCCGGGCTGACCCTCCTCTCTGAGCCCCACCCCTTTATCTGTGGGTCGGGGCCGGCTCGGTGAGCGTGGGGCCATGGGCTGTGCAGCACGCTGGGGCTCAGACCCGCCACTGTCCGCCCGGAGCCTCAGGCTCCTCGTCCACAGAGCGCGGTCTCCGTTCCCACCAGGGGCTGCCAGGGCCGGGTGCGGAGTTGCGCGGCGCCTCCTGCCCGGCGTGCCGTGCAGGGTGCCCCCCCGCCCGCCCACGAGCAGCCCCCAGGACCCCCTCCACCGGTGCCTCACCGCTGCCGCTTTACCCCTTCCTCAACCCCATTTCCTTTTGCATTTTGGATACTTTCTGGGGGCCTTTAAATTGAATTCGCAGAGCAAATTTCAGTGGCAGAATGTCCCCAGGGGCAGATCAGCATCAATCTGCTGTCTTTCACCATTAGGTGCAACTTACACGGACGCCAATCCAATTCTGAGCAGGTCGTAAATAAATACCTTTGGTTTTATTTTTAATCCACTTCGCTTCATATTATCATGACCTCGCTACTTGCAAGGTGAGAAGCAATACCCTCCCATTACGGTAACTCAGCAACCCCGCTGCACACGCAATTTCAGAATCTAATTTAGTCCCCCAGGTTCACTGGACGGAGGGAGAGTAGAAAAGCCCGGAGCCTCACTGCCTGCAATGCTAAAGAAGGAAAAATCTATCGGGGTGACCTTTACGGGAGGCAAAGAACACAACCACACGCGTCCTTAAATACAGATTTCTTTTTTAAAAAGGCCCGTCTCATCGACGCATCGGGCGGAGACGGCTCTGATCCGGGAAGGGCGGCACGGTTATTGGCCGTGAGCTGTTTTGCGTTACCCACATCACACAGGTCAAGGGCCGTCAACGGGTCACGTCCCAGGGGCCCGGCTCTCCCTGGGGTGGGTCTGCCTGCGAAACAATGGTGGACGGGGGGCTGAGTCGGGGCCCCATCAGAGGCCCAGTCCTGCAAACCGCAGAGGGAACGGGGCTCCGTGAACAGTGCTCTGCCCTGTGAGCGGACGTGACAAGTAGGGGAAGGTTTGCTCACAAGTAGGGGAAGGTTTGCTCACAAGTAGGGGAAGGTTTGCTCACGAGCTGCCGTCCTCGGAAATCAGATGCGTGGGGCCCCTGGAACTCTGCCCGCTTTGTTCCACGAGACGCCACCCCATCAGTACAGCCGCAGCAAGAGTGCCCCCCCCCACCCGGTGCACGTGCTGCTCCCCGCTGGCCTGTTACCACAGGCTCCGCGGTCACGTGACCTGTGCCGTCCACAGTGAGGGCCCCGCCCCCACGCCTGGAGCCCTGCGCTCTGAGCCCCGTCCCCACGTCAGGATCAGCCCGGTGTTCCGGAACCCCGCTAACACCCAGGCCGAACCACAAACCACGGGGCAGACTCCTGGGGGCCCTGGACATGCTGACCCGCCTCTCGGCATGACCAGCAGCTGGACTGCCCTCTGGGCACTCTGACGTCCCGTCATGAGCATGTGGGTGGCAGCCACACTTCCCTGCCACAGGCCGTCCCCCGCGGAGGCCCTCCTGCATCCCCCTCCAGCGGCACCAGCGGGCCAGGAGCACACGCCCGGGTGCAGGCAGAGGTGCTGGTGTGAGCCCCCGGGGAGGCGGGTTGGAAGCCCCGAGCCGGCGTTCCCAGCAGCTCGCCACCTCGAGCAGGGCACCCTGCACCCGGAAATCCGCCCGTGGCCACGGCCTGGGCGGGTTCCAAGAGGAGCCTGCTGGCGTTAAAGAGCGAACAGCGCTTTGGCTCCGGGTGCTTCTCACCCAAAGGGGTTTATATTTCCAGTCTGGTGAGTTACAGCACCGTGTGCGAAGCAGGACGGTCTGTGTGTCCCAGGAGGGAGGACGTGGGGACACACCAGTATACTTGGGCTCCAGAAACGTGGCAGGGGTCCCCTCCCACGCCCCCAGAGTTCTCTGCTCGGAGCGTGGGCTGCAGCGCAGGAGGCAGCCAGCCACGACTCCACCATCTGAGGACCCGGGTCCAAGCCCCGCTCTGCTGCATCATGACTCCACGGCCCTCTGCCACGAGGCGATCTGGCTCCCCTGTGACATCTACGGGTCCACGTACCCCTGCACCCCTGAAACAAAACGTCCGGTCCACGGTGGCGCTCAGTGTCAGAGAAGGGTGTGCTTGGCGGCCCAGGGGTCTGCCGCTACCGGGCTCAGATCCCAGTCCTGCCTCCGTTGGTCATGTGACCCTGGCAAGCCTCCCGACTCTACCTCAGTCCCTGTGTGTAAATGCGGACAGGAACGTCCCTCCCTGAGTTGAGAACCTGTGCAAAGTGCTCGTGACAGGGTCCGTGGGTACAAAGCACAAGCTAAGGGTCCCCTGCTCTGTGAGGACCCAACCACCACTACTGAGTTGTTAGTAGGATTCAGTCCTTGCCAGCACTCAGTCGTTACTTCCGTGATTACCCTTTGTGGTCAAAGTAACAGTCGTAGTGGCGGGAGCAGCACTTTTGGTAGAGAAATGATCATCCGTGGAAAAGAGTTCAGTGGGCGAATTTAATAAGAAATGCAACTCGCACCGGACGGCCCGCCCAGAGGGGCAGTGCGGGCATGCAGCAGGCAGGGGGGACAAAGTCCAAGGGAGGAAATGCATGCCAGGCGCCAACCCGCAGCTGTGGACGGGGGAGGCCCGAGCCTGTGCGGTGGCCCCGAGGCTGGTCATTCTGAGAGGCTGACAGCGAGCCGAAGGGGACACTGCTTTTCAGCCTCTTCGGCCCAGATTTTCAAGTTCTAATGTCAGATACAAAATGAGCTATGATGACCTTAAAACAGTCCCAAGGGACTGACCGAGCACATAAGCTGTTTCACGCATCAACGGGAAAGCCCAAGCCGTCACCTGCCTCTGTGCTGGCATCACGCCTACATGGCTGACGTACCCTCTGCCAGCCGACTGGCCTCCCTGGAGCCGTGTGATGGCCCCACGGCCTCCCCGTGCAGCTGACAGACCCTGGGCCACTCAGAGGGACGCTGCCCACCTGCCTGGGCCACAGGGCTCCGGGCTCCAGGCCCCAAGAACACACCTCTTTGCCCGTGAGGGTGTGCGGCCCTCCCTGGGCACCAGGACGTCGGGTGTAAGTGGTGTGGTCAGCACCCAGCGGTGTAAGCAGGTGCCTCCCACCGGAACGGCAAGTCAGGAGCCACTGGGAGACGGGAACAGGACAGACTCCAGGGAGGTCAGACACTCCTGCCCTCTCGCAGCAGAAGCCCAGCTCGTGCTGCGGTGGGGACCGAGCGACAGGAAAATGAATGCGAAATATGGGACGTTTGGTCCTGCACAGTCACAAATGGCCTCCTGTCCGCCGGCCCCCGCTGGGCCCCCACGGGTGTGCGTCACGGAGAGCACACCCCAGACTTCTAGAAGGGCCTCCCGTCAGCCCGGCCATCACAGAGCCCCGTGGGTCCACAGCATAGAGAGCAAATCCGGGCTGCAAATAAGAAGTCTGCACAGAATCTGTAAAGTCTTAACAGTTCTTATGTTGACTATAGGTTGAAAGACAGTATTTCAGATTTCTGGGTTAAATAAAATATTAGTAATTTCACCTGGTTTTCTCCACTTCTGTGGGGCCATCAGAATATTTAAGACTTCCCACACGACGGGGATTGCGCTCCAGTGGACGGCACTACTCTAAGGAACACGAAAATACCGCTTCTCGGCTGTGCCCCCCAATCCCGGGGCAGCCTGGCCTGCAGACGGCGCGGACC